TTGCACTGGGCAAATTTGCTGCAAAAAAACCTCTTTCAAGTGCTGAAGAGCAAAGATGTCTCCTTGAAGACTAAGGTGCGCCTGACCTAAGCTATGGTATTTTCAGTCGCTTCTTATGCACATGAAAGCTGGACAATGAGTAAGGAAGACCGAAGAATTGGTGCTTTTGAGTTGTGGTGTTGGTGAAGAATGCTGAAAGTACCGTGGACTGCTAAAAACTAACAAAATCTATCCTGGACGAAGTGCAGCCAAAATGCTCCTTGGAAGTGAGAATGGCCTGATTTTATCTCATCTACGTTGGTCATGTTGTCAGAAGAGACCATTCCCTGGAGAAGGATATCATGCTCAGTAAAGTGGAGGGTCAATGAAGAAAGGGAAGTCCCTCAATGAGATGAATTGACACAGGGGCTGCTATAATGGGCTCAGGTACAGCAAGGATCATAAGGCTGGCACAGGATCGAGCAGTGTTTTGTTCTGTTGTACACAGGGTCGCTATGAGTCAGAGATGACTTGACCACACCTAATAACAACAAACATACTGTATATAATCTATTTCTTGTATGATTTGTAAATCATATATTTATAGGTTATATTTATATATCTATATAAATTTTAAAAAAAGTTGCTAAGAACCAAAGATCCATGGAAAAAATTAGTTCAAGCACTGGTACACCCTGCGATCTTCAGCCTATAAAAGTATGAGACCAGAAGAACTAGATGGTGCCCAGCTACCACTGTCAACCACTCAAAGGGGTATCTATGTAGGAGATCCTGGATAGAGTGGGAGAATATTGTGGAACAAAACTTAAGATCATTTAAAAAGAAAAGAAAGAAAAGGGACCAGGTTTACTGGTCTGATAGAGCCTGATGAAGCCACTGAGACTATGGCTCCTAGCTGCCCATCAGGTCTGGAATTAAATCCCCTCCTGTGGCTTCCAGCCAAACAAAAGACAGGCTTATGAGCTGAATGTTTACATTAGATAGATACACTCCTTGGAGAGAACAATCATGGGAGAATAGAAGGGCTGTGTATGCACAGGGAGACAGCTCAGGGAGCAGGAGTACATGGAGGGAAGGACACAGGGAAGAGGTAACTATGAGGAGGAAGTGGGAAGAGAGCTGTTGCATTGTGGGAAATTGTAGTCAATGTCATGAGACAAAGTGTATGTGAGCTGCTGTATGGAAAGTGAATTTGCTCTGTAAACTTTCACCCAAATCACAATTAAAAAAAAAAAGTTGCTGTCAATATTGACTCATGACCAACCTCACATATGTAGAGTAGAGCTGCTCTTTAGGGTTTTCAGTGCTGTGACTTTTGAGGAACAGATCACTAGGCCTGTTTCTCAGGCATCTCTGGGTAGGTTTGAACCACCCTTTTGGCTAGGACTCAAGTGCTTGACCTTTTGTGCCACCCATAAGGATTTCTATATCTATATATATCATTAGCTCCTGTCAAGTCGATTCTGACTCATGCCGACTCCATGTCTACAGAGTAGGACTGTGCTCCACAGGGTTCTCAAGGTGGTGGACTGCCAAAAGAATGAACAAATGTGTTCTGGAAGAAGTGCAGCTGGAATGCTCCTTGGAAGCGAGAATGGTCAAAGTCTACTTTGGTCATGTTGTCAGAAGGGACCATTCCCTGAAGAAGGATGTCATGCTTGGTATTGTGGAAGGTCAACAAAATAGAGGAAAGTCCTCAAAAAGATGGATTGACAAAGTGGCTGCAACAATGGGCTCAGGTATAGCCAGGATTGTGAGGCTGGAGCAGGACCAGGCAGTGTTTTGTTCTGTTGTACATAGGGTCACTATGAGTTGGAGCCAACTCGAAGGCACCTAACAGCAGCAATAACAGCATTCATGTCTGGATAGCTTTGAACCAGCAACATTTCTGTTGGTACTGGAGTGCTGGACCGTTTGCACCACCCAGAGACTCCACATTATTTATCTATTATATTTTGTATTGTGTTTT